CCAAGCGCTTTGGTTAACATATCAGCTGAGTTGTTCGTAGTTGGAACTTTCTGAAGAATAATCTTTCTTTTGGACAAAATCTCACGAATAAAATGAAACCGAACATCGATATGCTTTGTCCTCGAATGATAAACTTGGAATTTAGACAAGTGAATAGCACTTTGACTATCACAATGTAGCTCCACCTGGTTTTGATAAATTCCTAGATTCTTTATCAATCCATGTATCCAAATGACCTCCTTTATAACTTCTGCAATAACCATATATTCGGCCTCCGTTGTGGACAAAGCGATTGTGGACTATAGTGTGGACCTCCAACTAACTAGTCTGTTGGCCATGGTAAACAAGTAGCCAGTAGTCGATCTTCTTTTATCCAAATCTCCAGCGTAGTCAGAATCAACATATACAACCACAAATTTCTCAAACCACTATCACTTCGCTGAAAACATAAGCCGACATCTCCAGTCCCATGTAGGTAACTTAGAATCCACTTAGCTACTTGCCAATGTTCTTTTCCTGGATTATGCATATAGTGACTAACCAAACTAACGACATGAGCAATATTTGGTCGAGAACATACCATAGTATACATCAAGCCACCAACCAAATTAGAATATGAAATATTCTTCATCTGCAACTTCTCTTCATTGTTTTTTAGAGATAACAAAGCACTAGACTTAAAGTAAAGAGCCATTGGAGTACTTACAGGTTTTGTGGCATCATTAATACCAAAACGTTGAAGCAATTTACACAAATATTGCTTTTGTTTAAGATACACCAAGCCTTTTTCTCAGTTACGAGTAATTTCCATACCGAGTATCTTTTTCGCTTTACCAAGATCTTTTATCTCAAACTTGTTCGTCATCTGTGCTTTCAACTTTTCAATCTCTTTAACATTCTTCGATGCAATTAACATATCATCAACATACAATAATAAATAAATGAAAGACCCATCTTGCAACTTTTTGAAATAAACGAAATGATCATATTGACTTCTTAAATAGTGTTGACCTCTCATGAATTCGTCAAACTTCATATGCCACTGTCTTGGAGATTGCTTCAATCCATACAAAGAATTCTTCAATTTACAAACCCATTTCCCTTTTCCAGTTACCTGATACCCATCGGGCTAAGACATGTAAATTTCTTCTTCAAGATCTCCATGTAAGAAAGTCGTATTAACATCAAGTTGCACTAGTTCAAGATCAAATTGTGCAACAAAGACTAACATAGTACGAATAAATGAATGCTTCACAACAGGAGAAAATACTTCATTATAATCAATACCTTCCTTTTGTGCATATCCTTTTGCTACCACTCGTGATTTGAATCTCGCATTGTCTTCTCCTAGATGACCTTCTTTTTTAGTATACACCCACTTACAGCCAATAGCTCTCTTGCTGGGAGGTAATTGAACTAACTCCTATGGAAATAAACGGGACAACAAAAAATATGAAGAAAATCATAATTAGAAGCTCATTTTCTAGTCCACTTCTCAATAGGTGTTTTACCCTTAATTGCAGATGAAGGTAAATGATTAATAATGTGACAAGCATATGTAATTGCCTCTTCCCACGAGTGAATAGAAAGTTGGATCTACATGTGGATCTCACCTGAATCGCCCCATCTATCCTTCTGAGTAGAAGTTTGGTTTCAAACCCCGGTTCGAACAAGAGAAGTACGCCATGCTAATGGGTGAAGTCTAAGCCTCGGATGACGGGGGGAATATAGACACTGGGCAAGGAATCATGGGAGTCGACCCGAATAAAGGAAGCCTTCCGTGAGAGGGCCCTGGAGGAGAATTGGAATAATGAGAGGAAGAAGCCCCCTGAATCATGGTAGTACGCCCCAAGATTGGAATGGGGGGAAAGAATGGAAAGAATTGGTTCATATAGAATCCATGTCCTAGGTGTATCAAAAAAAAAAAGAATTGGTTCATATAGAATCCATGTCCTAGGTGTATCAAAAAACATTCTTTTTGCTAAGCGTATATAATAAAATAGAGTGAAAGGGTCCACCCCGAAACCAAGGGGGTTCTAACTAACAGCTGAGTCCTCTATGTTAGAGAGTTGTCTAATCTGTGATATGTTCCTGCTTTGAAGAAAAAATTAATTTCTTTGGGTGCCTTAGAAAGTAATGGGTTTAATGTAAATATGTTAGATGGTGTTCTAAAAGTTACTAAAGGTGTTTTGGTTATGATGAAGGGAATTCAAAAGCAGAATATATATTTCTTGTAGGGAAAACAATTTTAGGTGGTGCAGCCATAATTTCTGAAAAACTAGATACCGACAACACCAAGTTATGGCATATGAGACTTGGACATGCTGGTGAAAAAGCTCTTCAAGCCCTTGTGAAACAAGGACTGCTGAAATGAGCCAAAACTTGCAAGCTTAACTTATGCGAGCATTGTGCCTTTCTCAAAAATCAAAGAGACACAGCTCTCCGAATTTCAAGAGCCAGACTCCCAGCAGGATTGCTTTCTCAAAAATCGAAGAGGCACCGTTCTCCGAATCTCGAGAGCCAGATCATCGACAAGATCGCTTGTTCGAAAACCGAAGAGGCATCGCTTTCTCAACTTCGAGAGCCAGATCTCCTTGGATAAAGCTTGTCTGTAATCTTCACACGCAACACCAGTTTTCCAGATACCACAGACCACTTTTTCAAAGTGCTCTGACAGAGTTAAAACACTTGAAGCGGGCAGCTCAGTGCTATGACCAAGAAGGGTAAAGGAATAGCATTACTACTTGTTGTTAAGAAGACTCCTATATATGTCGACCTCCATCCTCAACGGACAGGCAGACCTGCAAAAATGCTCAACCCTTCCTCATATCTGAGAGGGCACTCCCAACGAAACCTCTCGAAATACTCAGCTTTCTTTCCCCCCGATAATACCTCTGCAAACAAGCTACACCATAGCAAGAATATCTCATATCATCAGGGTTAAAAGCAAGAGTATCCCATATCATGCTTTTTCCCTGTCTTTTCCTTTGGCCTTGTTCTTACCTGCAAGACAAGGAGAAAGAGAGCAATCAGTCAGCACTTGGAATCAAGCTTCCAGTCAGGAACTGACTGCTTAGAACCCTTTACCTGATTACTTACTTGGCATTGCTCTCGAGTACTCATCTTCAACATCTTATGCTTCCAGAGAAGATACCACATCTGCCTGAGAAACAGATAGGGCCAGTGAGAAGGATACCAGGAAGCATGTGGAGACAAGCGTAACAGAACACGTGCCGATACTTCCACTACTTTGTCAACAACAAAAGTATCACATATCAGCAGGGTCGAACGTACTCTAGATTTGATGGACTTGTTTTGACCCTTAAATTAATCAGTCGGCCTTATACTCTAGAGGTAACCAGAAAACCCTCCAGCCCAGTTCAAGAATAAGCCTGTGGAAAGTTACTTCTTCAAAAGCAAAAGTATCTCATATCATCTTTTTTTCCTTTTCTTCTCTTTATCCTTCATGCTGCCTGCAAGATAAGGAGAAGGATAACAATCAGCCGGAACTCGAAATCAAACTTCTGATATGGGACTGATTGCTTGGAGCTCTGATTGCTTACCTTGTCTGTCACTTCTTTCAGCAGATTCCCTAGCTCGGCGACTTGGGGGACTCCTACTACATGGTTTGTATCGCACTTGACCACGCCTGAAACTACAAGTAAGCTTCAAGTGAAATTGATACATTACCTTGTGCATCTCCACCAGTTAAAGATACCACCCCTGGACGGAGGAAGAGTACTTCCAGAGAAGATGCCACATCTACCTATGAGACAGATAAGGCAAGTGAAGACGATACCACACTTCGGTACTTAGAAGTTTCGTGATTACTCAGCGGTTTGGATCTTGCAAGTCCCCAACCGAGGAGCTTCCCCTCTAACCAGGAGGCCAATCACAGAACGACACATGTCGACATCAGAAGCCAATCATAGCGCGACACGTGTCAACATCGGAAGCAAATCACAACACGACACGTGTCAATATCATAACAAGGCTAGAAACTCTCTTCTATAAAAGGAGATCATTCTCCCAAAATATTTCCTAATGCTATTTGTACTAAATCATTCACTTGTACCCACTAAAGGAGAGCTAGAACCTATGTACTTGTGTAAACCCTTCATAATTAATGAAAACTCCTCTACTTCGTGGATGTAGCCAATCTGGGTGAACCACGTACATCTTGTGTTTGCTCTCCTGTCTCTATCCTTTTACATACTTATCCACACTAATGACCGGAGCAATCTAGCGAAGGTCACAAACCTAATACTTTCTGTTGTACCAAAGTCCTCACTGATTTTGTGCATCAACAATCCTTAAGTCCTTACCTTTTTTCATTGGTAATGGATGAGTTAACATGACATATTCAAGATGTTATTCCTCGGTGTATACTTTACGCAGACGATATACGGTTGATAGATGAAACTCAAGAAGGGGTAAATGCGAAGCTTAACCTTTGGAGAGAAGTGTTGGAATCTAAAGGTCTTCGCCTAAGCTGATCAAAGACAGAATATATGGAATACAAGCGGGATGGATGAAGTGAAAGAGTGCATCTGGTGTGTTGTGTGACCGTCGTATGCCACTAAAGCTCAAGGGAAAATTTTATAGGATGGCAATAAGGTCTGCGATGCTGTACGGCATAGAATGTTGGGCGGTGAAGCATCAACACGTACACAAAATGGGTGTAGCGGAGATGAGGATGCTTCGTTGGAGGTGTGGGCTCACGAGAAAGGATAAGATTAGGAATGAGTGGGTTGGACATGTGCAAAGAAGGCCTACTGACGCTCCAGTTCGAAGATGTGACTACGGGACAGAGGTTCAGGGCCGAAGGGGTAGAGGAAGACCTAGGAAAACTTTGGAAGAGACCCTAAGAAAAGACTTAGAGTGCTTGGATCTAACAAAGGACATGACACAAAACCGAGCGCAATGGCGTTTTAGGATTCACATAGCCGACCCCACTTAGTGAGAAAAGGCTTTGTTGTTGTTGTTGTTGGTGGTGGTGATCTGCTTGCTTAATGGGCTCTTCCACATCTGGTATAATGAGATTTGTTGCAAAGTGTATAGATCATACATCATCACATATTGTCTTAAAAATAGTTAGGAACCAATGCGAGTAATCATTTATTTTCTGTTACCTTGTGTCGTGTTGTAAGAGAACCAACTCTTGCTGTCCTGGTGGAACTGCAGAGGATCTTTGGCGTAATTTGACACAAATGGGATCGGATGAAAGCAATGAAAACCATCCAGTTCTAGGAAACATAAAGCAAGCACTGGACACACTTGTCCGGCAAAGGTTTGACTTGTTATGGATTGTTTATTTGCAGTTCTTTTGTATCGTCATGATTGTATGTTATTGACCATCCGTAGGTATCTATCTCAAGTTTTGTTCTTCGTTTCAGATATTTGCAGAAAGACAAAGTAAAGGAACCTGACGGCAATACTTTTTTTTTATGAGCTTGCGGAGAGAGCTTTAGGTGCACCATTTAGTGAGAGCACTAAAGCACACATCAGAGGTATGATTTAGAGATTAATCACGTTATGATAATATAATTTATTCATGATTAAGTATTTGAAGAGCTATAAGTTCGTCCTGTTTGGAGTGTGTATTATCCCCCCCTCAACCAAAAAACAAAGTATCTTTGAAAAATTACTCATGTCAACTTGCATGGTTTTCAAATTCGTAAACACGTTTGCCCTCTATTTTGGCAATTCATAAGGTTGTTAGGTTCAAGTTTTTCGTGTCTCCACTATTTAATTGGAAGTAGCTCTACACACAGAAACAGAACCTGAAAGTTTGTGCAAGGTAGTGCTGTAGACAGAATAACGCAATGAACAGTGTAGACAGTTAATGCAGATTGCAAAGAAAACAACACATTGAGCTCACATTTAAGGAAGGTAGAGGAAGTACACATTGGTTTTCTATCCAGATTAAAGATAGGCTTTACTAGAGTTGACAGCATGAAGAGTTGCTGAGCCTGTGTTATAGAGGAGGAGGGGCCCTGCTGTTTAGAAGGGAGAGGAAAATTAGGAAGAAGGAGCGGGAATTGGGGAGTGGAGAAGGGAGAACTTGGATGGGGGGAGAGGGGCCCTGAACCATCCAAGTCCTTAGGTGGCTCTGCCGTTGGCACCCGTTACTGAGGCAAATGAAGAGGAAAAATAGGTTAAGGCAGGAGTAAAAGAAAAGATGCACATGATCATTTTTTTGGCGTAGCTGCTTAATTTCTAGCCGGTTACTAAGAACAGTAGCAAACCAAAAATTAAATGGAACTAGCCTAAATACGGATAGAGGTAAAGAGTCTAAGAATAGGTGTGAGCTGAAGAGTCTAAGAATAGGTATGAGCTATACAAGCAATTCTATTTAGGACAATGAGGAAATACTACTCTGTTTTTGGGAGTACAGAACAACAAGAAAATAAGGAACTATAAGAGGTTGCAAGAAAATGGTAGAAACTACCACCATCAAACTAGTTGGATACTATAGTTACTCCTAAAACCCTAGATACAAAGAAGCATATGCAGCTGAAACATTCTCTAAATTCATCCATGTTTTGAAAGAAAGTATTAAAAGGCTAAATGCACAAAAGACGATAAAAGCTAAAAGATATTAAAGACCATTGAAAGAATATTTTCCCGAGGGTGCTGCCACTTATTTACAACACTTAAATTGCTCTGCTAAATTAGCACGGGAGAAGCCTTGTTCGGTGGTTTTGTTGCTTTGTTGCAGAAAACATTGCAGTTATGTGATTTGTTTTTCTTTTAGCTCTGTCTAAAAGCTCAGGGTTTAGGGTTTAGGGTTTAGGGGCCTCAAGTCACAAATCCCATTAGTTTTCAACTTTCCCAAACAGAAACCCTAGCACTGTAAAAGTCTTAGTCACTGGTCGTTGCTTTGGCTTGGGGCCGTCGTCAGCCTCTCCCCCCTCCTTCTAGCACCTCCCCACTTCTCCTAATCTCTCCGCCTCCCTAGCCTCTCCTCTCCCCGCCTCCCATCCCCCTCCTTTTCCCCCCGACCACTCCTTGCTTGGTGCTGTGCAGCCCCTCTTCTCCCCAACATTTTGTGGGCAGTTTCTTCACGGCTTTGATGCAGCCTCCGCCCCAAAAATCGAGATTTACTCCCTAACAAGGCCTATTCCCTTGATTTAGCGCAAGATCCACGGGCTTGGGTGGGTTATTGGTTGTTGGTGGGTCGGATCTTCCCTTTATGGCTTGATTTTCAGGGTTATGTGGCTCCTCTTTACTAATCCGTGGCAGCACTGCCTTCCCTGACCAGATCTGTGGCGGCCTTGCCTTGCTTGGCTCACGGTTATGGCAGATCTCACTAGAAGTGGTAAAGTTGCAGGTGGAGATGAGCCAATCATCGAAGAAGAGCCAACCGGAGGATTTCGTTTCTCGGATTACTGTAGGTTCAGTACGTTTGTACCACATCTAGCGGGTGATGTCTTGCCTAGCGAGTGATGTAGCCCGCGTGTGTGATGGTTTTGATGTGGCCTCACTTGTTAGCATGGTTTGATGTGGTCTCACTTGTGTGTGTTCTGTTATAAGTCTGTTCCATCTGCCGTCTTTGTGGCAGATTTGTACCAACTGTGCTTGTGCTAGTTTGTGGGCGTTTGTGATAGCCAATTAAAGGATTATCATTATTGCTTGTTTGTGCGAAGTGCCTCCAGATCAAATATATAGTCACTGCCCATGTGGCAACCTTTGCAACTGTTATCGTTTAGTAATGGAAAATTGGTATTGTTATGCTATTTTATTTACTTGTCATTCTTGTGGGTTGTGAAGGAAGAGATTGTCTCCGTGGATGTCGATGACTAGCGGCTGCCGACGGGCTGCCAACTTGGTCTGACTGTATCATAGTTGTAGTTAGATGGTTCCATCTTGTTGCCATATGACTGTCTCTAGGTATAAACTTACAAGGAAGCTTATAATGTCAATAGATGTCTTCCAATTTTGGGTCTTGCACTGTAAAAGTAAAACCTAATTTGGGTTAATGTTAACTCCCAACTATTCGCTTTATTTATAAGAGTAAGGCGGCACTCATCCTTTTTTTGGTTGGTTGAAAAACGGGGCTAAAAGCAAGAGCTCAAACAAATCTACTTCATAATAAATCTAGATCGGGACATTTCAAGTCGATCCTCACGAATGAAATTAACGACACTCATCCTTGAAGTTGAAGGCTTGAAACCTTCATCCTCGACTCATTAAACACACATAGTAGAGGTATCATTTCAGAAATCAATTAAGTATGGTTTTACAATTTTTCATGATTATTTGTTATAATTTCCTCATGCTAACGTGCATGTTTTGCTAACGAGATATGCTAATAATCTTCTCAATTTCTTATGACACGTGTACTCTACTAGCACTCAAAGTTAAAATTTTAAAATATTAAAATTTCATTAGTTTACTTCCTCTGTTACGTGATATGATTAGAAACAAGAATGTTTAAATGAGAAGATAAGTGAAAAGGTTGTAGGGTCTCTTTTTGGATTGATGAACACGTTTGCCTCTCTTAGCGTCAATTCAAAAAGTTCTTAGATATTCATCATTTTTGGTGTCTCCACTCAATCAAGGAGACACGAATAAAGTATAATTATGTCTCTTTAGCAAACAAAGAGAGTCAAATAAGTCTTCAAACACAAATTTATTAAAAATTAAATAAATCAAGTTATTTCCTAGCAAAAAGAAATAATAATAAAAGAAGTTTTAAAGTTCGAACTTCGTTTTACGATCCAAGGTAGTCCTCTGTTTCTAAAGGCTCTTTGATTTCCACACGAGCGCGTGTTACTTGGTGCTCGCGATTGTTGACCCTCGCTGCATCTTCTTCAACCTTTTTTGGCATAAAATTGTAGTACGAAGTGTTCTTCACCTTCATGTTGGCCCTTGCCTTCTCTTCTTCAGCTTTGGTTGGCATGAAATTGTAGTAGGGAGTGTTGTTATTAGCCATGAGAGTTTAAGAGTTCTTAATCCTTCTTTCCATGTGGATGATCGAAGCTTTGATGGTTGAAACATTAAGGTTGTGTTTCCGATTTTATAATGATCTATGCACGGTATGTAACAGGAGAATTTGACTATATTTTGTATTTATTCTACTACCTTGATATGTTTTTCGAAGACATGTAAAGAGAAGTTTTCTGCATGAAGATATTAAACTTTTCTTTACTTCTACATTTGGATAAAATCTAAAAATATGTGACCGTTTAGGGTAATTGCGGAGTTTATATAATAATATGTACATGTTGTGTAATAAAAAAATAAAAAAATATCCCCGGTTGTCGTAAAACGTCATCTACAAAGAATTACTATCTGATTAAACATTTATTTGTTTATTTATAAACATAAGTATATGTAATAATAATAAAGCATGTTTAATATGTGTAATAATAAATACAAAATAATTTACCCACAAAGAAATTTCCTTTCATACGGAAGATGCCTATGATTTTTTTTGAAAAAAAATAAAGATGCATGTTATTCAAATTAATGAGCTCCTCCCTCTTTTTATATGATATTAATATTTATGATACTTGAAATGTAAAATTTCTATATGGAGCTTATTGCTCATCATAATTAGGGTGAGTAATAACATTATTGACATAATTAAGGTTTCAGCTCGTGTCATAGGTTGTAAAATATTGTAATAATTGGTCACATATCTATCTACATGACAATCTATTTGAAATTAGAATTTTATTTGAATGTCTAAGATTAGGTAAGTATTTGTTTAGAAAATAGGAGTCTCAAGGTCCTATTTGTAATGAACCCTAAAAAAATCTTTTTTTTTAATACAAGTGATAATATTTAATTTAATTTACAATAGAGGGAATGAAAGGGCTTAAATCTAAAACATTGAAGAGGAAGAACTCAACCATCATAGAAGTCCACTACTTGCAAAAAGGAACTTTGCATTATAAAATGATATATATATATATATATATATATATAATGACGTGGATTCTTAACAATCGTTCTAGAACTCACACGTCAATAACCTTTTGAATTAATCACCTTATGTGCCTCGATAATCAATTAGTAAGTTAATATTATGCTAATTGTATTTGTATGACAAAATCTTTCTTGTAATCCGCAACATTTAATACAACTTCCGATTTGAATGAATTTTTACAATGATTTGGGATGAGTGCATAAAAAATAAATGGTACAGATCATAAGATTACTTTTTGAAGAGAGTATAGACAAGTAGTTAACATGTATTAAGTTACTAATTATTTAGTGTTTCAACACTCATATAAGATGAGAGTTTCTTATATGAAGTTTTAAAACAATAATATTTTGGGAGTTTTAACGAAAAGCCCACGGTACTGTTCACTTTAATGAAAAACCACATTTTAACACTAAAAAGTCAAACATAATACTATTCACTTCACCCTTTATTTTGTCCTTATCGTTAAAACTCAAAGTTTTCAAGCCCTTTTCATTAGTTTTCCTTAATATTTTATGGTACTTTTATTTGCACTCAGAAAATCTATGGCCTCCAAACTTTCTATATTTAAAAAATAAAATAAAAACACTTAGTAATGCACAATGAAGTTTTTGAAATGCTAATAAGACACCCATATTTCAAACAAAGGAGCAATATTTTAAGGGTAAATTACATAGAAACCCCTCAGGTTTGAGGTCTATTACAACCACATACAACATCTTTAAAACATTTCACTTTCATACCTCACGTACTATTTTATTTCAAAATAACACCTCCATTAGGATTTCCATCTAATGGTCTGTTAAATTCTAACATGGCTGCCACATTTGTGCTTATGTGGCTGCCACGTGGCAAAACAAATAATTTTTTTATACATTAACAATATTATAATTGTCACATCCCGGCCCGGGTCCACCACATTACAAGCCCGTTCCACCACCGTAGCACGAGATTGTCCGCTTTGGGCTTACCATTCCCTCATGGTTTTGTTTTTAGGAACTCACGAGCAACTTCCCAGCACTGTTCTAAAAATCCCCGCCTAGCGCCGCCTAGGCGCTAGGCCCTAGCCCACCGCCCCGATTAATGCCTAGGCCCCAGCCCACCGCCTAGACCACCTAGGCACCCGCCTAGACCCGCCTAGGTTGCAACTCACTTAGACAGAAAATACACAACTTTCATTTTGCATTTTGTTTTTTTCCAATAAATTGTAAGAGACTTGTTGCATAATTGAATGAACAAACATTATATCCTTATTTCACATGTTTTCATTATGTTCCAATACTTCATGATATATATGCATTCTATTTTGTAGTTTATGATAAAATTATATATATTTCAAGTAGAAGCAGACACTTAATTACATGAAATATGATAGATTTACTTAAATCCGCCTAGTCCGCCTAGGCCCCGCCTAGGCGCCTAAGCGTTCCCCAACCCGTCGCCCTACTAGGGTCTAGCGATTTTTAGAACCTTGCTTCCCAGTGGGTCACCCATCCTAGGAGTGCTCTGGCCTCCTTCTCGCTTAACTTCAGAGTTCCTACAGAACCCGAAGCCAATAAGCTCTCAAAAGGCCTCGTGCTAGGTAGGGATGAGAATATACATTTAAGGATCACTCCCTGGGCGATGTGGGATGTTACAATCCACCCCCCTTAGGGGCCCAACGTCCTCGTCGGCACACTTCCGACCAGGGATTGGCTCTGATACCATTTGTCACATCCCGACCCGGGTCCACCACATTCCGGACCCATTCCACCACCGTAGCACGATATTGTCCGCTTTTGGCTTACCATTCCCTCACGGTTTTGTTTTTGGGAACTCACGAGCAACTTCCCAGTGGGTCACCCATCATGGGAGTGCTTTGGACTCCTTCTCGCTTAACTTCGGAGTTCCTATAGAACCCGAAACCAGTGAGCTCCCAAAAGGCCTCGTGCTAGGTAGGGATGAGAATATACATTTAAGGATCACTCCCTGGGCGATGTAGGATGTTACAGTAATATTAACCCTATTTATATAAAAAAAATTAAAAACCCAAAAAAACCCAAACCCAGATCCCCTTTCTTCCCCCTCACCTATCTGTAACTCATGTTTACAAAATCCCTTCCCCCAGAAGAAGAAGAAACCAAACCCGTACGTTCCCTTCCCGATGCCCACTTTGCCTTCCCCACCCCCCCCCGGCAACGACCCACCTGCCTTCCTCTGCCCTTCCCGTCGACGATAAGCTCCCGCGACCCCCCCTCGGCGACGGTTGCAGGTATTTGGGTTATGGGTTGTGGTTTTGCATGTAGTGGGTTGCAGGGGTTTCTAAGAAAACTAGTGAAAAAAAAAACAGATAAGTGATTAAAGGTGGGGGCTTTGAGGGGGGAGAGATGGAGGGGAATATGGGTTTTGGGGGAAGGAGACGCGTGGAGGCAGGAGGCAGAGGGTGGTGGGGGAAGATGTGGGAGAGGGGTGGAATTCAAAGTTCAAACCCTAGAGAGGGAGAGGGAATGAGGGAATTGAAAAAAGGGTGTCAGGGAGTGTGTTGGGGTTGGTGTGAAGGAAGAAGAAAAGTGGGAGAGATGGGTATGGGGGTGGGGACGGATGGACGGGAAGGAAGAGATGGGTAAGGGGTGGGGGTGGGGGTGGGGGTGGGATGTGGGGTTATGGGGAAGGAGATCTAGGTTTGGGTTTTTCTGGTTTTTTTTTTTTTTTTTTTGTAAATAGGGTTAATATTGTTAATCTATAAAAAAAAAAAATTTTTTTTTGTCACGTGACAGCCACATCAGCACAAATGTGGCAGTCACGTTAGCATTTAACAGACCATTG